TTTTTTTTTTTTTTTTTTTTTTTTTTTTTTTGTTTTGAAATGCGGAATTACCAGAAATGCAAAATAACACAGGTTTTTTTTGTTTTTCTGGTTAGGTAATAGGAAGCTCTATGGCTTTTTTAATTTTCCTTTTCTGTTGAGTTTTTATTTTTTTATTTTTTATTTTTTTTTTTTTGTTTTTAAAAAATAGCTCTAATAACTAAAGCACTAGCTGTTTCTGATAGGGAGAGTGAGGGGAAAGGGACGTAGAATTGAATTAAATGTGTTGTTATACGGAGGAGTAAAAGCGACATATTGATCGAAGTTGTTGTTTGAGATGAGAATCCTTATGTAAATACCAAAAGTTCAATCTAGCTTTTTTCGACTGAGACAGAAGATGGCAGAAGTCTAGCAGTACTTTGAACTCCAAACGTGCTTTGTGGGTTTTTCAGTGTGATCAGGATTGGTCACAAGTTCCAGCTGAACCAGTGTCAAATTTTCAAAAATACGTTGGTTTCATCAGCGTTGTCGTTGACAGTGTTTTTTTCCACGTCATTTGTCATCCTCTTTTTTTTAGCATTTTTGGGCTTTTGGTTAACCAAGTGTAGTTTGAGGTGAGAAAAGTTTAGGAAAGAGAAAAAAGCGAAAGGGGGGAAGTGGAGTGGTTTAAGTAGAACAGTTTTTTAGAGGAGGGGAAAGAGACAGGAGTGAAACTTAAGCGCGAAAACGGTTGTGCATCAGCAAAAATTGTTGTAATTATTCGGTCTTGTCTATCCAAATATAAAATTGCTAAAATTGTGGCAAAAGATCTGCTAATGTAATAGTTAAAAGTGAATAGAAGAAAAGAAGTATATATGACAGATATCGGGTAAAAATTGTCTGTACGTTGTTTTTAAAAAAAATTTTTCATTGAGGAAAAAACCATTTCTATGTTAGAAATAGAATAGGAGTATAGATGTATAGTGCACCTGAAATGCTGACGGAAGTTCGGTAATCACTGATTAGACCAGTATAATTTTCGATGTCTTTTCACCTTTTTGATAGAGCAGCAGATATTCTGAAATATGTATATACTTTTTATTTTTTTCATTTTTTGCATTTCTAAAATTCATATTTGTTGACAGTGTACATCAATTTTTATCAGACGATTAGTTTGCAGATTTAGCGGCAGAGTCAATATAACTGTGCTGCAGACAGTGACTTTAGTGACAGTGTTCAAAAAAAAGGGAAAGTGTTCATTGAATTTTTTGGTGATTAAAACTGCACTTATATTCTCTTATTTGCTTTACTTAGAACTGATAAGCAACTGTTTTAGCCATGCGGTAGTTACAGGTATGGTTTTAGGTGTTGTTTTAGTTGTAATTGTAATTTTAACTGTAATGTAATTGTAATTTTAGTTGCAACTGTAATTATGGTTGTTATTTTTATTTTAAATGTAATTATAATTATAACAGTCAAACAGTGAGGATTTCAAGCAAACAAATCGACGTTTTCGTCTAAAGCTGTACCGACAATGTGCTAGGGAACTCGGTTATCAGTGAGCTAGTTAACTGGTTGACTGTTCTACATACATAAATATATACAAAAAATATACTTGTACTGACCATCTGCAGTTTTACTGTCACTTTACTGAACAATTTCTTTCAAAATAAACACAAAAAAAAAAAAGAAACAGAAAGGCAATAGCTGCAAGAGTCTTCAAAATTTGTCAGTTTCATACTTCACTATTTTATGGCAGTGTTAAATATTTTTTTCATACGAATTAGCTGAACTGATTGTTGTGGATGAGTTAAAACTTCCAGTAATTTGTTTATTAAAATTGACCAATGCATTGAAGGCAGACAGCAACTGATTCTTTTTTTTTTTT